TGGACTGGATGATCCTTCGAGGTCCCTTCCAATCCCCAACATTCTGTGATTCTGTGATTCTGTGACTTGGATCAGCACTAGTATAGGCAGTAGGACCAGGGAAGTTTTCTTACCCCTGGACTGGGCACTGGTGAGGCCGCAGCTGGAGTGCTGGGTTCAGTGTTGGGCCCCTGAGTCCAAGAAGGACATGGAGGTGCTGGAGCGTGTCCAGAGAAGGGCAACGGAGCTGGGGAAGGGTCTGGAGCACAAGTGTGCTGAGTTCCCTTGTGGCTGAGGGAACTGGGGGTGTTGAGGCTGGAGAAAAAGAGGCTGAGGAGAGACCTTCTGGCTCTGTCCAAGTCCCTGAAAGGAGGGTGGAGAGAGGTGGGGGGTCAGTGTTTTCTCCCAAGGAACAAGTGCCAAGATGAGAGGAAATGTCCTCAAGTGGCACCAGAGGAGATTTAGATTTAGATTGGATATTAGGGAAAAATTCTTCACTGAAAGGGTTGTCAATCACTGGAAGAGACTTCCCAGGAAAGTGGTTGAGTCACCATCCCTGGAGGGAATTAAAAGACATAGATGTGGTGCTTAGGGACATGGTTTAGTGGTGGACTTGGCAGTGCTAGGTTAACAGTTGGACTTGATGATCTTAAAGGTCTTTTCCAACCAAAATGAGTCTATGATTCTATTCCATGATATATCAGTCCTACAGCGTAATCACCAGCAGCATCATTTGCTCACAAACTTCCCATACACAAATCATTGATGCAAACGTTCATCACATTGCTTGGAAGACACATCTAGCTAGACCACCCAAAGCTCATGTGCTCTTGTTTTGCTGCACTTATTGCTTCATGCTGTTGATGTCATTGGTGATGGCACAGCTTTGCACGCTAGATCAGTAGACACACATGTGCCTCCTCTGCTTTTACCAAGGTTAGACATCTGTGTTTGACCAGCTAAATCACCCTTGGCTCCAAGGGCTATATTGATAAGGGGCTGTACCAGGTTTCCTAGGTCATTTGAGATGCCCTATGATTTCCAAGGCAAGGAAAAGGGCTGATAAAATATGGGACTTGATGGACGGTTCTGAAGTGAGAGCTGGAGGCCAGGCAGATATCAGAGAACATCACGAATGGCACAAGACACCAGTGTGTGTGTAATGGAAGTGAACCCCTGACCTCTGTTGGCTTCAATGGGGTTAAACAGCCAGCTCTTGTACAGAAACAACATCTCAGTGGCACCATCTTGAACTTAACTCCATATTTTGGGCTCAGATCATTTGCTTTGAGTCTTCTCATGTCATTTGAGATGCCCTATTATCCCACCCCTTCACCAGCTGATGCTTCAGAAGGACACAGGTCTCCTATAAATCCTGTATCATATCTGCCAGCCCTGTGCCTTGGGTACCTGGGGATATCTCAGATATCCCAGGACACCCATGTTTGGGCATCTGGATTGAAGTGCCAGTGTGTGTGATGAGGTAACACTTATAACAAGGTTGTGATGTTTGTGAGCCGTGGTTCACATGGATCACAGGGGTCCAACACGAACCACTACAGCCACTGAATGTCCCTTCTGACTCATTTACCTTCTCCTGATGAGTTAAATAAGCAACAACTCCTCATTCCTGACAGCTTCCCATGGTGCTTGAGATGTACTACACTGTCACTACATCAGGTGTTCATCCACCCATCACTAGAGAGGGACATATAACACACCCATGGGTGACACATACATATTTCTCATCAATATTGGGACTACAAATCCACTTCTAGGAACCTATTTTCATGACCACTTTGAAAGTGAATGAAATTTTATTAAAGACAGGTCTATGACTTAAACATCCCACAGTGATGGTCTTGTGGGTGCTTTAATGCTGCAGGATTTCTTTTTAATTCCAGGGATCTCCTGGCTATCCTGGACCAGTGGGACCAAAAGGAGACAGAGTGAGTTTCATTCCTGGGTTTCATTGGGCAAAAGCTATTGTAGTGCTCTGATCTCTACTTTCTAAGCATTTGTACAGTGACCTTTGGTGAGTATGAACTTTTGTGCTGTATGTAACTAGCCCTACACTTCTAGTCTTCAGCTTGGAGAGTTGTCCTTCAGCTTTGCTAGGAGGAATCTAATGTCTTTATGGACAAAAGTGCTCAGTGTTTATCACAGGCTCTTGGCATATTTCAGTTGGTTATTTGCAGAAGGAAGTATTCCTTGGTTGGATCATTCTGCCTTTCTGAGTTTCCACTATGAACAAGCCTGTTTGCAAACATTTAGGACACAAAAAATGTAAAGCTTCACGATCAGTTGTGGGTAGATCCCAGGAGCAGTTGTCCTGTCCTTCACCCATCTCCCAATGTGCATTCCTTCTTCTTCCTTGCATCCACCTGACCTGTCTTGTATGGCTACAGATCAGGGTGTAGATCGTGCTGAAAGCCAACCTACATTTTTCCCCCTTGGGATTAATTTTCTGCTATGCCAGCAAGGAGAGCTCATGTCATGGCCATGTGGTTTCTGGAACCTCTGCAAAAGAGTTGCTGCAAGCAGGTAGTTTGGGTTTGCAGCATAGGGAGGGACTGTTTTGTTTTAAAGACATTTACTCTGTTCATTAAATTACCCTTAAATTAAGAAACTGCCTGATTGCACCTGGACCTTCCTACAAAGCTCAGCACATGTTCCTCCTCTTGTGTGCAGGGTGAACCAGGCTATGTCCTTGGAGGAGTGGAGGTGATTCCAGGACGAAATGGGCAGCCTGGTCCCCCTGTGAGTATCATACCCAAGATGTGGTGGACCCTTCAGCCTTTCAAGGGCTGGCAGAGAAGTGAAAGGAGCTGGGAGAGAAACCCCATCTCCATCCCTGTCCTGGTTTTTGTTGTTGCAGGGACAGAAAGGGCAGCCAGGGGTTCCTGGGGTAGCAGGACTACCAGGTTTACCAGGGCCACAGGGGCCACCAGGGATCTCCATCAAGGTGAGCATGGTTATTTGAAGCATGGTTCTGTGATGTTGTACCACAGAAAGAGGAGACCCAGCCTAGTCCAGGGTCCCTGGATACTCTGTTCATTCAAGGGCCCTCAAAACACACATTTCTTCTCTCCATCATGGGATTTTCCCATTGAGGCATAAAAGGAGGAACTCTGCAAAACGTTCTCATCATCGGGGCCCTGCTGTTCAACACAGTGGGAATTGATGATGGAGCTTGTAAAGGTTATGGTCAGCATTGTCTGACATGGGACTAGTTTCAGTGGTCACTAAGACTTTTCCAGTTCCAGGTCCCTAGGAAGGTTGTTTGGTGGCTAGAGTGAAATACCCAGGATCACTTGTCCTGTGCACAGCCAAAACTGGTCTGATGGTTGTCACCAAATGTCTCTTTGCACTCAGGGTGGGTCAAAAGTTCTCCATAGAGATCAAGAGACCTAAACTCCTCTCCTTTACCCTAAGGGAGGATTGTCATCAGATTTTACAGGTTGAGGTGTCTGGAGCATGTAAGATAACAGATACCTCTACTAAAGCTCTGTCTTCTCTTGGGAGTGGGAGCTTTAGTCTTTGGGGTTGTCAGCCTGCAGGAACTTTTTGCTGGGACTAAGTTTAGGGAGAACCCCCTCTCTAAATTACCACCTCATGGTAATTCTCCTTGTCTTTTGTGTTTCAGGGTGAACCAGGGGATGCAGGTATCAGGGTAAATACCTCAGATGGGCTTTCACTTTTGCATGTGATGAGAAACCTTTTTTTTTAAACTATTTCTAAGCTGCCCAATAGGCTCTGGATTCCGTACTTACCATATGTCCATCAAGACCCAAAAGTACTGCTGGGACACACAGTAAGACTGTCCTGTGCTTCATGCAGGGCCCTCGTGGGAGGAACGGCCTCAAGGGTGACAGAGGAGGCATGGGAGAGCCGGTGAGTGGTCCACCAATGGCCAGTGGGTAAGGAAGAGCTGCCAGCCACTGTGGGAAAGGGCTGATGGCCTCAGGCTGCTCGCTGTCACCTCGGGTGGGTGTAGAGGGACAATATCTACTGCCAGTTCTCATCAGTTGCCACTTTAGGATGCTTCACTCTGCTGATGAGGGCTGGCAGATTAAGCAAGGCCAATTAAGCATTTCATACCTCATCAGCTTCATCCTGTTGACCCATCACTCAGGAATTGACCAAAGGGAAGTGTTAGAAACCCAGTAAGATGACAGCCTTTTGTTTTGCCAAAAGCAAGGACATGCTCTTCCTCATGGCACAGAGCAAACCTGTGAGAAGTGCATCCATCACTGTGCTCACCATGATAAACTCTGTGGTGTAGTCAATCATGTTGGCAGATGATAACAAATGTAGCCTGATGAAGGCTACTCTAGAGTGACAGTGATTCACCCGTGAGCCCCCACTGTTTCCACCACCCATGGAGCAGCTGTGTGTAACCCTGCTCCTTCAAACATCCCACCCCTTGATGGAGAAGAACTGTGAGGCCACATCTGGAATATTGTGTCCATAAATATGTTAAGGGCAAATGTCAGGAGGATGGAGCCAGGCTCTTCTCAGTGATACCCAATGGTAGGACAAGGGGCAATGGGTTTGAGCTGGAACACAGGAGGTTCTGCTTAAACTTGAGAAGAAACTTCTTCCCAGTGAGGGTGACAGAGCCCTGGGACAAGCTGCCCAGGGAGGGTGTGGAGTCTCCTTCTCTGGAGACATTCAAGACCCACTTGGACACCTTCCTGTGTGATCTCATTTAGGTTCCTGTTCCGGCAGGGGGGTTGGACTGGATGATCTTTCGAGGTCCCTTCCAGTCCCCAACATTCTGTGATTCTGTGATCCAGAGAAAGACAAGAAGGTGGATCAAAAGTGTGGCACAGCAAAAGGACTGAGCTGGCAGCAGTTTTGAGACAAACAAAAAGAAGTTGTTCTTCACAGAAGTCCCACAATGTCTGGGGTGTAGGAAGTTTGAGTTCAAGGGAAGATAAGAGAAGAAAAAAAGTTTGTGTAGGACTACTAGGTAGAAAAGAAACCATGTTTGGTTTGGGAAGTCTCTGCATTACAAATGACTCAAACCTGAAAGATTATTCAGCGACTAAGCATATGTCCTGTTCTTGCATCCTTCCCAAGGTGCCTCGTACTGTCCATCATTATATATAGGTGCTTTTTTGTCACCTTTGCAATCCTGCAGAGCTATATTCCATAGACCAGCCATTTCCATATGTCAATCTTCACCATTTCTACACCAACAGCATTATTATGGTCACACTTACAGTAACACATCCATGAAGAGCCACTGGAGAAGGCAGCCACTGCCAAATCAAGATGGGTACTCAGCCTCTACCTTCTCATGTAACAAGCAAATGCATCTTTATTTTTCTTCACTGAGTAAAGTCAGTGATCCATAGTTTATTTGTGAGGAAAAGGGAAATTTGGGAATACATAAACACCTCTAGAAATCCTCAGCTGCAAAGGAACTGGGCACATCAGGATATAAATTTCTCTGCTTATCACAGAATCATAGAATGGCTTGGGTTGGAAGGGACCTTAAAGATCACCCAGTTCCAACCCCCCTGTCATCAGCAGGGACACCTTCCACTAGACCACGTTGCTCAAAGCCTCATCCAACCTGACCTTGAACACTTCCAGGGAGGAGGGATGCAGACTTAAAAACAGACCTTTTCTTTAGTATGATTGTTAACAAATAGTTTAGAAGAAAGAGTTGATGATATATCTTCCTTTCCAGGGGAAACCTGGCTTGCCAGGCACTGTAGGGCTAGATGGTGTTTCTGGACTGCCTGGACCAAGGGGAGAAAAGGTCTTTACTCATATCAGATGCTTGCAGGATCTATCAGTCCAAGGGTGAGCTGAGAATAGCTGAGACAAAGTAATAGCAGGGTAGACAGTGCAAATAAAGTGGAGGCACATTGAGATTTTCCTCCGTTCCCCTCCACTCCCTACTTGTACAGGTTGGAGTTGTGCATGGTAGAATAGATACTCCATCTCCATCCGAGCCCTTGTTTTCCTCACAGTCCTCGTGTTTCCACTCAGTGGAAGATCTCTGCAGTTCCTGCTGTCAGGAGCAGTGTTTTCTCCTAAACACAGCCCAAGCCCTGGTTGGGATTGCTTCACTGAACCTCCCACCCTGCTTCGAATGGTCAATTAAAACACACATAGATGCCTGTTCTTAATTCTCTCCTCCAAGTCAATGTTTGCACCTTGCCTGAAGGTTGCTGGCTGGACATATGTCTTAGCTGAATGATTACAGAGCAATTTTTTTCCCCTCCTGCTTTGCAGAATGGCTAAGAGCAGAGCTCAGAAGTGGATATCTGGGTAGGCAAGATCATGCTCTGCAATTTTGGGGACTTTCTTGAGTGCAGTGCTGTTCTTACCTTGGAGTAATGGTTGGAGAATGGAAGACATAAGGGTTTAAAGTCTGAGCTTTCACTGTTTCTTGAAGAGCAGATGGGTTGACATTTTTACAGTGAGATTTGCAGCTAAAGACCCCTTGGAAAACTCAGTGTCTCTAAAATCTCCTCCAAGACCTCTTTTCTAGGTTTTCCTTGGAGAGGTCATCCTGTGGTTACAAATGCAAAGGGTTGGAGAATGGAAGACATTAGGGTTTAAAGTCTGAGCTTTCACTGTTTCTTCTGTTGTTTTTGTTTTGGTTTTTTTTTCAGGGGATGATGGGACCTCCAGGAGTACCAGGACCAAAGGTGAGTACTGAAAAACTGAACCTGAGTCCTTGTGCCTGGTACTCAGGTGCCAAAGAAAACATCTAACTCTAACCATCAGCAGCAGCTGTGGGAATGTTGGTTCCTCACTCAAAAGCAATGAAGAGTAAGAAATTTACACATCAGCAGTCACTGGCCTGTGGAAGTCATTGCTGCAGAGACCTGGACTGGTAGCAAGATGTGATATTTTAATAAGGGTCCTCTAAGAAGATGGGGATGAAGATTTCCCTAGGGCCTGTGGCAATAGGACAAGGGGTGATGGTTTTAAACTAAAAGAGGGGAGATTCAGACTAGATATAAGGAAGACATTTTTTATAATAAGGGTGGTGAGACACTGGCCCAGGTTGCCCAGAGAGGTGGTAAAAGCCCCATCTCTGGAAACATTCAATGTCAGGTTGGGTGGGGCTCTGAGCAACCTGATCTAGTGGAATGTGTCCCCACTCCATGAAGGGGGATTGGACTAGATGAACTTGAAAGGTCCCTTCCAACCTAAACCATTCTCTATGATTCTATAATAAAATAATAATTGTGATTTTTGTGATCAGTGAGACTCTGCAGAACTGTAGTATTTCAGTCAGGTTGGGTGGGGCTCTGAGCAACCTGATCTAGTGGAATGTGTCCCCACTCCATGAAGGGAGATTGGACTAGATGATCTTTAAAGGTCCCTTCCAACCCAAACCATTCGATGAGTCTATGAATAAAATAATAATTGGGATTTTTGTGGTCAGTGAGACTCTGCAGAACTGTAGTATTTCACGTTAAATGTGTTTTGGGAGCAAGATACAAGGACCAGATTCTCTCACATGTGCATTTTGGACACCTTCCTCTGACAAATCCAAGTCCATATTCATTCCCATGTTTCCAGTGGAGAAAGACCAGCCCTGTGAGAGGTAATACAGCCCATCCTAAAGTCTGCATTTTCTTCTGGAAGTGCCCATCATTTTCCAGCTGTTGGAGGAAAAGGAAACCTTGACTTGACTAATTCTCTCACCTTGCTTAAGAGGCTGGGGTCTTGGGGAGGACAGGGAGACCTTATAGCACCTTCCAATACCTGAAGGAGGCCTACAAGAAAGCTGGGGAAGGACTTTTTATAAGGGCAGTTAATGACAAAACTGGATGCCCCCTCCCTGGAAGTGTTGGAGGCCAGACTGGATGAGGCTTTGAGCAACATGGTCTAGTGGAAGGTGTCCCTGCTGATGGCAGGGGGGTTGGAACTGGATGATCTTTAAGGTCCCTTCCAACCCAAACCATTCTATGATTCTATGATTTTGGTGTCCTGGTACTACCAGAGGAAAAGGACTGGGCAAATGTATCTCCAGTCCAAATCTGGCAACTCTGCCATGAACCCAGGGAAGATGATTTGTGACAAGGACTGGTCAGAAAGGGACTCATGGCAAGCAAGATTTTCTTACAGATTACTGCCTTTCTCTACTCATGGAGCTATGGAAGTTCAACTCCAGGGCTTCTCCATGTGACAACATACCTGAAAAGCTGCAGGTGCAGGAGGAATCAGCTGATCTTGGCATGTACAGGGATGATTGCTGTAGGAGGATGGAGACTTTCTCCTGAGCCAGGAGAAATGCCTCTCAATTCAGGTTTGAGTGGATGTTTGTCTCTTCCTGAAGTACCTGGCTTGAACGTGTGTTGAAGTTTGACACCAGAGAAAGGCTCAGGAAGTCTGAATTGTCTCTGGTATGGGGAGTGGCAAGCATGGGTTTAGGTGGTGGTAAGGCAACTCAACATGGTCCCAAGTTGTTACGGCTCTTGGAGAAGCAACCACTTAGGACTGGGCTGTATGGCTCTCTACACATCCCATTCTCCAGGTAACTCAGGATATCCTCTTTGAGTTACTGCTGATGGCCAAATACAGCTGAGTCACTGGTTTATTTCACATCCAATAAGTGCAAAAAATGTCTCATGTTGACCCCAAAATAAATTATTATCGTACTTCCAAGAGAAGTGGAAAATGAAGGAAAAAATAATATCCAAGGGAATGTTTCATTCAAACCCAAAACAAAGTGGTTCCTTCCCTTTGCAGTGCTGCTTTTTTTATTTCATAAAATAGAAGAGAATCTTAAATTCTAGAATCTTAAATTCTTAAACTAAATTAAAGAGAATCTTAAATTTCAGCAGGTCGAGGGAGGTGATTCTGCCCCTGTACTCCGCTCTTGTAAGGCCCCACCTGGAGTACTGCATCCAGTTCTGGAGCTCCCAACATAAGAAAGACATGGACCAGTGAGAACAAGTCCAGAGAAGGGCCACCAGGATGATCCAAGGGCTGGAGCAGCTCTGCTGTGAGGACAGGCGGAGAGAGTTGGGGCTGTTCAGCCTGGAGAAGAGAAGGCTCCAGGGAGATCTTATAGCGGCCTCCCAGTACCTGAAGGGGCTACAAGAAAGCTGGGGAAGGACTTTTCATAAGGGCAGTTAATGACAAAACAAGGGGAAATGGGTTTAATCTGAAAGAGGGGAGGTTTAGATGAGATATTAGGAAGAAGTTCTTCACTGTGAGGGTGGTCAGACACTGGAACAGGTTGCCCAGAGAAGTTGTGGCTGCTCCTCCCTGGAAGTGTTGAAGGCCAGGTTGGATGAGGCTTTGAGCAACCTGGTCTAGTGGAAGGTGTCCCTGCTGCTGGCAGGGGGGTTGGAACTGGATGGTCTTTAAGGTCCCTTCCAATCCAAACCATTCTATGATTCTATGATTCTAAATCTGTAAAGTCTTTGCAAGTGCTAACGGCCAGTTTCCTGCTCATGTCTTGCTCTTCACAAGAGCAAAGACCTTGAATTGCCCAGTCCTGATCCACACAAATATGGGTCAAAATTTGGCAGGGTGCTCCCTGGTGAGATATCTGTTGATGTTGTTCATGAGCTCTTTCTGAGTTGACAGCAGAAGGTGCAGGAGGCAATCAAAGCTGCTCATTTTCATTTAGGGTGAACCAGGACTACTTGGGGAAGAAGAACCAATGGGGCCAAGGGTGTGCCTCTAAATTAATCAAATCAGTATTAAGTTTTAAAGATTAAGATTAAAAATAAATAAATAAAGAAAGAACCCACAGGAATTGGACCCTGGACCAATATCTCACCTTGCTCCTCTTGGTTATGCTCAGCCTCTCTGCTAAGCTTGGATCCACCCCACAACCTCAGACCTGCGCTCTCAACTTTTCTAAGAGTGTCTCATCTTCAGCTTTCAGGTTCCTTGGGAGGAAACAATCTGATCAAGTACAGGATAGTCTATATATACATATAG